CTTTTATACCTTCTGCGTTCTGTTTTATTTTTTATTTTTTTTGTTTTTTATACCCTCTGCATCCTGGGATCGATTCTACACATGTATTTTTTTTCCAGTTTTTTACACCCTCCATGTCCTCAATCCAACCACATTGTTTGTTTTTTTTTTTGTTTTTTTTAAATATATTTCTATTGATTTTTATCTTTTTAAATATATTTTTATTCTTTTATGTTTTTAAATATACTTTTTTATATTGATTTTTGTGTTTTAATATTTTTTTTTATCGTTGCAACCTATTTTACTTTTTTATATACTTTTATTGTCACCCATTCTAAATTTTAGCCTATGTTAGTTTTCTAAAAATATTTTTCGTTTAAAATAAAATATTTTAACTTTTATGTCTAATTAAGTTCTTTTTAATAAAATATTTGTAATTTTGTTTATATCATGGAACATATATTTTTTAATAAATTTAAATTTATAACCCTAAACTTCGATAGATGTCATAATGTTTATTCATCTATTCAATAAAAACTCACTAATTGATAAAAAAAAAAATCAAGTTTATAAAATGAAGTTTGAGTAATATAAAATATCTACTATTAAATAACTATGTGAAAACTTACAAATAAATTTAAAAAAAAAACTCCGTTGCTATCTTTGCCTAAATCCTATCAATTTTTCATTAATTTTGTTTAACTCATTTGACAAATGAGAATATTATTTTCAACAATTTTTCAAATGAAAATCTATCGAATGGTAAATGTTGTGACACAAGTGAAAATTACCACACTTATCCAAATGTAAGGTACAAATTGATACACATTGCTAAGTTAAAGTTGAATAATTTTTCATTATGTTTATTTGTATTCATGCCCCCCCTAACCTGACATCCGGATGAACCACTGAACCCAGCCAACCTTACCAGAGTTTTCTTTTTTAGCGAATGCTACATTCAAACCTTAGGATCGCATTATCAACAACACATCTACCAGGGATAAAAGCACTTTGATACGGAGAAATAATATCATTTAAAATAAATTTCATGTAGTTCACCAAAGCTTTAGAAATCAACTTATAACTTACATTTCAAACGGAAATGGGCTAGAAATCCGATGGACGATGTGGATGCTTTATCTTTGGGATCAAAGTTATAAGAGTCTCATTTATATCTCGTGGCGAGACTTGTCATTCAGCACCTGAAGACAACACTGTATCACATCCGGACCCACTACATCCCAAAACCACTGGTAGAACAATTCAAGTAACTTGTCGGGGCCTGGGGTTTTATTCGGGTGGATCTGCTTGAGCGCCGTCAGAATATCCTCTTCTGTAAACTTTTGAAGTAAAAGGTGATTCATATCAGAGCTCACTCTACGATCAACAACTGCCATTACACGTTGAAGGATCTAGGCGGGGGAACTGTTGAAGTAAAAAACTATGAAAAATAATCAGAAACAATCCCACATAGGCCCACGGACTCCAGTACCGACACCCCCGAAGCATTCTCCAAGCCATCAATAAAATTCACCTGTCGGTGAAAAGATGCTCGATGATGAAACCACTTAGTATTTTTGTCCCCCCAATTTAACCAGCTTACCCTATTTCGCTATCTCCAATATATTTCCTCCTCCATGAGCAGATTCTCAAAGGAAGCTGCAACCAACAAAACTGCGTCTCGAGAGCCCCGATGGAAAAATCATGGATTGCCACCTGGACCTGACGCGAGGCTGCCTTAAACTGTTGACCATAGCCCCCTGTTCCAGACCGACCCCACTGCGCAAAGCAACCAAGCAGGAGTTGGTCTTCTGGGCAAAAGCCACTGGCCCACCATCAAAGAATTCGAGCACCAGGAGGTGGCAAAAACATTAGAAACATCATAATGTTGTAACCACACTTCCTCAAACCGACCGATAGAATCCCGGTAGTGCTTAAAAGGAGCTTGATCGGACCCAAAGTAGAGTGCCACCAGCCAGTGATTAGATAAATAATAGTCCAGATGATGCACCGAACATAGTACGCTTGGCCACATTACAAAAACATCTATCCAACCTCTCAAGAATAGAATCACTAGTCACGACGATTGATCCATGTAAATCTATCCTCGCCAAATCCCATATCCATCAAAGCACATTCATTAACCGCAGCGCGGAAAGCTGAAATTGCATTATCTGACTTCTGTCTCCCACCACATTTTTCATGAGGGCTAAGAACCTCATTGAAGTCTCCCCCAACTCACTAGGGGACCACATCACCACCTCGTAAATGTTTCAACAAGGTCAAAGAAAAGGACTGGTAATGTGCCGTCGGATTACCATAAAACCCTGTAAGACGCCACTTCATAATTCCGTGTGAGACCCTGATAAGAAAACAATAGCCAATTGGATCTAAGAACCCTTATGGTTATGCAAACCCCTAGATCACAAATGCTAAAACCCCCAAATCGAGATGATGTCAACCCAAGGAAGAAGTTAGAACGGATTTACCTTGATGATCAAGATCAAGAGTAGAGAAAACTTGTTTCAAAACTCAAGATTCGAACCACTCCACAAGATAGCTTGATCAAGGCTACTTGAATGATTCTAGCATGCAATTCTAAAACACAAGAAATGCAAGGGAAACGCTCATGGCTCAATAAGCTTAAATTTCATTATCTTAAAACTCAAATCTCAAATCTGTTTTTCCAAGGGAACAAGCTAGGCTATTGATAGCCTCCAAAACAACCCTTCAAGTAACCTAAAAGAATTGTAAAGGTTGTAACTCTCTACTAGATCAATACCATAACCACCACTAAATCAAATGTAACTTAAAACACATAAATGAAATGTTTAAAAATTGAAAATACAATTAAACATGCTTTAAATCCGAGAATGAAACTCCTCCACCATAAAACCAAGAAGTTGGAACCCTCCAAGAGTGAATGAACTGGATTTTGAACTACTTTGAAGTCTTGTTCATTTAATGCATCTTGAGTTTAACTTAGACTTCCATTAATGCAACTTGAGTTTGTAGTAAATAAAGTTGGACTTGTTCTTGACTTCATTCAATGCTACTTGAGGTTGCCATAAATGACACTAGAGTGCATTTAATGCAACTCCACTTTGTTGTCATCTTGGACATAAGATTCTCCAACAACTTCCTTTAAATCTTGAGGACTAAGACACTTTGGTTCATATCAGACTCACCCATCAATATGTGAAGTCGAGAAGAAGATAAGTCGAAACTCAAAATCACGTACCCAAAGCAAAGCTAGTCCACCACTCTTACCCTCGCAATCCACAGAAACAAAACCATAGAACCCAAGCTGTGGCTTCACAAACTCCAAACGATCTTTTCGAGCTTTTGTTTCAGATAAGAACACAAATTGGGATTTAGTTGTCTGTACCACCTTGTACAATTTGCGAAATGCCTGAGGGGACCCCACCCCTTGAACATTCCAGAATAGACCTATCATAATGATCGGTGGGACTGGGGACCAGCCTCCGCGAAACCAATAACAACATGGGGAGCTTCATAAACAGACGTAGGAATACCAGTAACAACAATACCGCATTTCCTGATTGAACCTTCTTAGATAGGGACAGAGCCATGATAGATCCTTCATAACTAAGAGGCGTATTCCCCAAAATTTTATTCTCTAGATGGACCGCAGCTTTGACCTTGGCAGGACGCTTCCATTTTGACTTCGTGTGGGTCTGTTACGAATTGCACATAAGTGGGCGTAGAGCCAACCCCCAGTTCCTTGGATGTACTAGATAGAGGCCCATCTCTACAAACAATGGAAGAATACCATTCTCAATTGTTGAACACGTCTGGCTCACTTGGCTCGGGCCATCCCTCATAGTATTCGGCACCGCCGGTGCCGGCACATCAGCCACCTACCGCCGGCATCGTCCCAAAAGCAAAGTTAAGCGGTATCGCCCGCTCACGCCCAGAACCCCCACCGCGGGTATGTTCGTCCTCTTTGTCGTCGTTCTCACCCAAAGCCATAAGATCGGTCGATCGCACAAGATGAGTCTTAGAAGTCGTAGTCGAACCCCTTTTCAGAACGGAGGCACACAACCACTCCCCATATTGGAACGATTGGTCGGATGTTGAGAGAGAAAGAGGTGCACTACTACACTCTCAGAGAGTGTGACCGAGAAGTCCACAACAATAACAGAAATCGGGAAGCCGCTCATACTGAATGGGACACCATACTTCTTTACCCGTTACCAGACTAAGCTTTACACCCTGACGAAGCGATTTACGAATATCTAGTTGCACCCAAATTCGCAAAAAGGCACCGACCTAATTCAATCTGTCGCCACAATCGAATCCCTCGACGAAACCCAAAACACTGTCCAATTGAACAGCCACCTCCCGAGTCATATATTGAAAGGGAACATTGTGGATTTTGACCCAAAAAGAGACAGTCGTAAACTGCAAGTCAGATGGCCGGTCAGCAGCATTTGACGAAACTAGGATAACAAGACTCTTATCAAACTGCCACGGATCAGAGTTAAGAACTCGAAGCTTATCTGATCAAGACTGTAAGTGAACGATAAAGATATTATCGCTCGTCGGATCAATCTGGGTTCCATGAAGAACCCGCCACAATGACTTCATCACTAATCGAAAAGCATCCGCACTTATTCGCCGAGTTAAAAGAACCTTTGCCACAGCACACAACTCCACACTATCAGCAGATAACAAATTGCTTTCATACCCAACCTGTACAACTTCATTCTTCTCATCTGAAAGATCTAAACCCTTCCACAGATCAACAAGTTCATTCATCCTCTCCTTCACGAAACCATCGAACGTCGCCACCTACCAGTAAAACCGTACCACTCTCGAGCATAGAGATAACCCATACGTAAATGGGACTTAAACACATATTTAAACACATAGACACGACACCGTGAAAACGCCACTTAAAAAAATTGATTTTGTTGATTGATTGGCACGGTTATGCTCATGGATGGATTAGGTTTTATATGTCAAGTTGTATGTGAGTGACATGTTCTTGTGTGTGCGTCTGTATGTATGTATGTATGTATGTATGTATCTATGTATGTATGTATGCATGCGTCTGTACGTACGTATGTATGTATGCGTCTGTATGTATGTATGTGTATGTGTATGTGTTAATGTCAAGTTGTACGTGATTCACACGTATGCGTCTGTATGTATGTATGTGTATGTGTATGTGTTAATGTCAAGTTGTACGTGATTCACATGTATGCGTCTGTATGTATGTATGTGCATGTGTATGTGTTAATGTCAAGTTGTACGTGATTCACATGTTCTTGTGTGTGCTGTCTTTATATATATATATATGTTAATAAATTAATAATTTAATAATACATTAACTTTTTGCTAACAAATTATGGAAAAACCTAATTGCTAACAAATTATGGAAAACTCTAATGGCAGTAATATATTAAGAATAAAATTGGGAATTTTAACATTTATTATAAAATCAATGTGTCATTAAATTATTGTTTTATTAAAACATATATAGACATGCCACTTAGTAGGGCAAACCAAAAAATAAAAGGATTTTGTTGATTGATAGGTCAGATTTGCTCATGGATGAATATTTATGTATCAAATTGCATCTGAGTGGCATGTGTTGGGTGTGTTACCCCAAACTCGTAGTTTGTATTTATGTAAAAACAAATTTATATTCAATAAAATTTTCTTCAATCAATTTGTTGTTGAATTTGTTGAATTGCATTGTCTAAAATCCAACAAACTAAACATCCAAGATTATTATCATGTCACTGGGACAGTATATATGCTGGGTATATATATATTTTTTTTGCAAAGGTAAATAAGATATATAAAAACAAGAAAAGCATAAGGAGAATCTCACAACCCGAGATCAAGGCAACAAAACAAAACGGTAAAGAGAATAATAGAAATCACGAAAATAAGTCCCAAGCAGAGACAAGCATGGGCTCAGAGCTCCTACAACAACTCCCTGGCCAAGTAGTGGAACGAAAATACACCTCTGCTTTAATAACCCTAAGGAGCACAGACGACGAGCGACCCTGACCACGATGAATACGAAGGTTCGGCTCCCGCCAAAGGAGAGAGACAGTCAAAGTCCAAGCTAACCGCCACACATGCCGCCGAGAAGACGACCCAACATTAACATGACAAATCCAAGTAAGCTCAGTAGACCAATATGAAACCCGATGAGACGAACCTGCCCACGAAATCATACCAGCCCAAACTGCTCGACTATAAGGGCAATCAAGAAACAGATGATCCCTAGACTCCAAACCAGCACAAAAAACACAAGTAGCAGGCACCAACGCATTCCACTGGCGAAGACGTTCACGCGTAAATAGGCGATCACGAATTGCCAACCAAGAAATAAACGAATGTTTAGGAATATTCCCACCAAACCATAACAAGTAAAAATAAGAAACTGGGGGACGACGAGGACGAAGAATCCCCCAAACACTAGAGACCGAAAAAAGGCCAGACACCGCGGGAGTCCAAACAAAGCGATCCTCCTTACCAACCACAGTTCGCACCGACATAACCTCTGGCAGAAGCTCAAGAAGATCCACCGAAACACGAGGCCACCGCCAAGAACCATCAGGAAGCAAAAAGTCAACAACCTTAGCCATAGAAGAGCTAGCAACATCATAGATGACCCTATCCCCACACCTTGGGTGAATCGGACCCCCCGACAACCAGGGATCGTGCCACACAAAACAAAGCCGACCATCCCCAAAGGACGGAGAGAATCCCGGACACCCAGAATATCCCGCCAACACCAGGAAAATCGAGACGAAGGCCGGACAGTCCAAATACAAGAACCCCGTAGAGCATAAGCCTCCACCCAAGCGACCCACAACGACCCAGCACGCGTGAGAAGAAGCCAGAGCAGCTTCATAATAGCAGCACAATTCCACGAGGCCAAGTGGCGAACACCCAGCTGACTGGGTGTTTATGCTGAACGCACGCACTAAGCGTGGTAACAATTATATAGATGCAAGCGCACACCTGTCAGAGTAATATAAAATGGATGGAGTATCCAAGTATCGATCCTCAAGGACTTCTAAATAATTTCCAAACTCTGAAGTTTTAAAGAATAGTGAATGTTGAAATGAGTGATTCTTGTAAAATGGGAAGTGGTCACAAATAATGGTTTTGGATTTGGGATTTGGACTTATAATAATAAAACCTAGCCCGATTTACTTCAAGTTAGCCAACAAAGAATCAAGGACATGCTAAGGATAATATGCATTTTACTTTAGAAACTAACGACTACGCTTCTCACTTTACTTATGTCTAAGCAAGTTCAAAGTCCTAAGACATTCCCTAATATGTCTATTATGAGATATATCTTAGTTTTAGGATGGAAATAGTCGCAACCTCGGGTTAAG